CTCTGTCCAGGGCCCTCTATTGTGATCCCAGTCAGAGCAGTCAATGATGTTAGCTAGGCACCATCTAGCTGTACTGGACTCAGTCTGGTGGAGGCTGTGGTAGCTGTGGTCCATTGGTCCTTTGGACTAAACTGTCTCTTGTATCCTGTTGTCTTTATTCTCCCTTGCTCCCATAGGGGAGAGACCAGTGGAGTATCTTAGATGGCTGCTCACAGGCTTTTAAGACCCCAGATGCTACTCACCAATGTAGAAGGTAGAGCATGGTCTTTATAAACTGTGTTATGGCAATTGAGCTAGATGTTCCCCGAGACATGGTCTGGCTGTGGGCTTTTTTTGCTGTTCTCTTTCTACTTGTTCCAGTTGTGTAGTTAATGTTTTGATTTTGTTCCTTTCTTCTTTTTTGATGTGTGTATCTATTGCTATAAATTGTCCTCTGAGGACTGCCTTTGTTGTGTCCCAGAGGTTTTGGTATGATATGTTTTCATTTTCATTTGATTCAAGGAATTTTTTGAATCCATCTCTGATTTTTTTCTATTACCCAGTGGTTTGTAAGCAGGGTGTTATTCAGTTTCCATGTAATTGATTTTTTTCCTTGCTCTTCCTGTTGTTAATTTCTACCTTGATGGCGTTCTGGTCAGAGAAGATATTTTTTATTATCTCAACACTTTGGATTTTGTTGAGGGTTTCTCTGTGGCCTAAGATGTGGTCTATTCTGGAGAACGTTCCACATGCATTAGAAAAGCATGTGTACTTTGCAGCTGTTGGGTGGAGTGTTCTATATATGTCTATGAGGTCCAGTTGGCTGATTGTGCCCTTTAGGCCTTCTGTATCTTTGTTGAGTTTCTTTCTAGATGTTCTGTCCTTTACTGAGAGTGGTGTGTTGAAGTCTCCTACTATTATTGTGGAACCGTCAATTTCTCTTTTCAGTGCTGTTAGAGTTTATGTATTTTGGAGCCCTGTCTTTGGATGTGTAGATGTTTATTATGGTTATGTCTTCATGATGGCTCATCCCCTTAATCATTATATAGTGTCATTCTTTGTCTTTTATGGTGGATGTTGTTTTAAAGTCTATCTGAGATTAATATTGCCACTCCTGCTCTTTTTTGGTAGCTATTTGCTTGATATATTTTTTCCATTCTTTGATTTTTAATAAATTTACATCTTTGTTTCTAAGGTGTATCTCTTGTAGACAGCATATTGATGGATTCTGTTGTTTTCTCCATTCTGTCACTCTCTATCTCCTTATGGGTACATTTAGGCCATTTACGTTCAGTGTAATTATTGATAGGTGTGAGTTTATTGCTGTCATTTTGTGGTTCTGACCTTTTCTTTGTTCCTCTTACTCTCTTGTGCTGAATTGCTTGTTTGTGGATTTTTTTTCATTTCTTTTGTTTTTGAAGGTTTTGTTTTTACTGAGACTTTATGTTTTTCTTCTTTATTTTGATGAGTTGGTTTGTTAACTTTCTTTGTGGTTACCTTGAAATTTACCCTTATCTTCCTAGGTTTGAACCAGTCTATTATTACTTGGTATTGCCTTGCCTTCCTCTCCATTAGAAGGTTCTATACCTACACTGTTTATTCCCTCTTTTATTGTTCTGATGTTGTTGTCATTTACACATTAACCTCTCTGGTTCCCTGTTGTAATTCTTTTGGTTTTGGATAGTCCTTGAAAGTTCATTTCCTAGGTTAATATCTGGCTAGTATGATCCTGCATCCTAGATTCAGCCTGTGGTCTGATGTCATTTGTTCTCAGATGGAAGGACTCCCTTTAATAAGTCTTGTAAATTTGGTCTGGCTTTTACATAGTCCCTTAATTTCTGTTTATCTGGAAATGTCCTAATTTCACCATTGTATTTGAATGAGAGTTTTGCAGGATATATTATTCTTGGCTGACAGTTTTTTTCTTTCAGGGTTTTATATATGTCATCCCATTGCCTTCTTGCCTGCATGGTTTCTGCCCAATAATCTGATTTTAGTCTTATTGTTTCTCCTCTGTGACTCTGTTTTTCTTGAGCTGCTCTCAGGATTCTTTGTCTTTGGTTTTAGCGAGTGTGATTATGATATGCCTTGGCAATTTTCTTTTGGGGTCTATCCTATATGGGGTTCGTTGAGCTTCTTGGACAGTCAGCTTTTCATCTTTTGTGTTATTGGGGAAGTTTTCTGTCGGCAGTTCTTCAGTGATTCTCTCTGTGTTTTCTGTTTTCTCTCCCTGTTCTGGAACTCTGATCACTCACAAATTTTTGCTTTTGATTGTATCCCACATAATTCTCAGGGTTTCTTCATTTTTCTTCATTGTTGTAGCCAAGTGTTTGTCTTCAATTTCGCTGATCCTGTCTTCCTTCATTTCAAACCTGCTCCTCAGCCATTATATGACACTATCCATTTCTGAAATCTTGTTTATCTTTTGGATATCTAATTGTTGTTTTTGTCTGATTTCTAGTTGTGAATTTATTTTGGCATTTTGTTTCTGTATTATTTTCCTGAGTTCTTTGTTTCTGGTCTGTATTTTTCATGAATTTGCCTGCCTTTTCCATGAATTTGTCTATTTTTTCCTCATTTTTGTCTGCTTTTTGCTTCAATTCTTGGATAACTCTGAATATTAGAGATTTGAATTCTCTATCAGGTAGTTCTAGTGCTGTTTGTTCTACTGGAAAGTCATCTGGAGTTTTATTTTGGATGTCTACTGGAACCATCTTGTCCTTTTTTTATATTTTTATATTGTCTGTTGTCTTCGGGACATTCAGTAGTTATTTTCCTCGTTTATTGATGGTAGAGTTGTTTGTTTTGTCCTACTTTTTATTTGTTTATGTCTGAGCAGGCAGGCTGTGCACACTTTGTTGTTTGCTTTTCTGTGGGCACAATACTTTTTGCCTCCTTCTCCAATGGGTAGGATCAGTCGCTCAGGTATGGTAGAGCAGGGTAGGTCCAGCTGAAGGGGAGTTGCTTGGATGTGTTGTTTGTGGTATGTACTAGGGCCAACAGGGTGGGCGTGGAATCAGTGCAGGGCACATTCCAATAGGTTGTGCCTGTGCTGCTTGGGGGTGTGATGTTCAGCACACAGTGCAGGTAGACAGGAAGGAGGGGGGAGATTGTGATGTGTGGAGCTAAGGTTGGTATGGGAAAGAAGAGAGAGAGAGAGAAACAAGAGACAAAAACATACAAACAAAAAAGAGTGCTAAGGTAGTTTGCCATTGGAGTGGAGAGATGAACGACTGAGAAATGGACAAAAAGAAAAAGAAAAAAAAGAGAAAGGGTAAAAGAAAAAAAATATCTAAAAATTAGGAAAAAAAAGAAAGAAAAGCAAATCCCCCCCCTGGGATACCATCGGTGTGGCCACTAGGACTGGAGAAGTTGCTCCCAGGCTGTGAAGTACAGCCTGGCTAGAAGGGGTAGAGGTGTCACACAGTGCCAGGTATTCAGTAGACAGGAAGAGATGGTAAGTATAGAGAGAAGAGAAACTGAGAAATGAAAAAGACAAAAGGGAAAAAGACAGAAAAGAAAAGAAACAAAAACAAGAAAAAAGAAATGCCCCCGGGGATCCCACTGTGTGGCTGTGCAGATTGAGGGAGTAGCTCCCAAGCTGTGCAGTACTGCTTGGCTAGAAGGGGCTCCCAAGCCAAGAAAAGACAAAGAAAAACAAATCAAAACAAAGGCCCCAGGGGTACCACCATACTGGCAGTACCAGTAGGGAAGGAGTTGCATAGTCAAGCAGTGTTTCACAGCCTTTCAGGAAGAAGCAAAGATGGCACATGGAGCCAGGCATTTGAGAGAAAGGAGTGGGAGGTGGTGAGAGGTATGGAAGAAACCAAAAGAAGCAGAAAAAAAGCAACACCAGCAACCAACAAATGGCACTCAGGGAGCCGGCCAGTGCAGGCAGGTGGAATCCAAGTGGCATAGGGGTGAAGCCACTGCTTCCTGGCCAAGAGACTGTGGCTGTAGGAAGCAGAGGAGGTCGAGTAGTGGTGAAGAAGAGTGGGGGGTGGGAAAGCATATATCGTTAGTTACCGGTTGTTCTGTCTCCTGTGGGAGCTCTGTGAAGCTGCTTTTTCGTACTCCCTGTTTGCCAATCTCCGACAGGAATCCAAGATGGCAGATCCGTGCTGCGTTAGCGATAGGGGACCTCTGCATGTCTCTCTCCTCGCTCTCTGCTGTCAGTTTCTTATTTCATTCGGTGTTTGGCTGAGTTCTTTATCTACATTTGATGCTTAGGGTTTCAGGATTGACATTTGTCCCTGTTTGACGTTGTTTTTCAGATCTTTGCTGTGGAGGGATGGTGTGGTGCTTCTGTCTATAGCACCATGTTACCTGGAAATGGTGTGCAAATTTGAATAATAGTTGTATTAACTGGTTTTTTTTTGTAGGCAGTAGGAAACTATCCTATCACTAACAGCATTGTACTTTAGGGTAGTTCTTGAAATGTTCTTCCTTTTGACGATGAATGTGACACCATTCCTCTTCAATTTGTGATTCCTGACAGGGTAGACCATATCATTCTCTGATGCAAAATGGCAAACACCAGTCCATTTCAGCTAATACCTAGGAAATTGATGTTTATGCATTCAATTTCATTTTTGACAATGTCCACTTTTCCTAGATTCATACTTTGTACGTTCCATGTTCCTATTATTAACAGATGTTTACAGCTGTTTCTTCTCATGTTGAGTCCTGCCACATCAGCAAATGAAGGTCCCAAAAGCTTGGTAAAATGCAGACTCTGATTCTGCAAGTCTGGGTGGGTCTGGGATGCTGCATTCTTACTAAGTTCCCAGATGATGCTGATCCTGCTGGTCCAAGGACCATACTTCGAGTAATCATGATAGACACAGTACAACTTTGGGTCTGTGTTTAGGTTTCCAGATAGAAGTAGCAGCAAAGGAAAGAAGGGAACTGTTTAGAATTTCCCAAGTGAAGAAAAGTAGACAAATGTAGTACTTTATTCATTCCTCCACTTCCAATGAAAGGCAACCACATTTCTGTGTTGTTTGTTTGCTGATAATTGAATGATGCTTTGCCTCTTTCATGGTAGGGGTTTCATCCACATGGAATCAGCAAATGAAACACGTGTCTCAGAATTTCTTCTTTTGGGATTTTCAGCGAAGTTAGAAATTCAGCTCATTCTCTTCGGGCTGTTCCTGTCCATGTACCTGGTCACCTTCACTGGGAACCTGCTCATCATCCTGGCCGTTAGCTCTGACTCCCATCTCCACACACCCATGTACTTCTTTCTCTCCAACCTGTCATTTGTTGACATCTGTTTCACCTCTACCACCATACCAAAGATGCTGGTGAACATCCAGATGCAGAGCAGATCCATCCTCTATGAAACCTGCCTCACTCAGATATTTTTTTTCATTGTTTTTGGATGCCTGGACAATTTACTCCTGACTGTAATGGCTTATGACCGCTTCGTGGCCATCTGTCACCCCCTGAACTACATGGTCATCATGAACACCCAGCTCTGTGGACTGCTGGTTCTGGGGTCCTGGTGTCTCAGTGTCATGGGCTCCCTCATAGAATTTTTGCCAGTTCTGAGGCTGTCCTTCTGCAAGTGCATAGAAATCCCCCACTTTTTTTGTGATCCTCCCGAAGTCCTGAAGCTTGCCTGTTCTGACACTCTCATCAATAACATCGTGGTATATTTGGTGACTGGCTTCCTGGCCTTAATTCCTTTCACTGGAATACTTTTCTCTTATTCTCAGATTGCCTTCTCCATACTGAAAATTTCATCAGCTGGGGGCAAGTATAAAGCCTTTTCCACCTGTGGGTCTCACCTCTCTGTTGTCTCCTTGTTCTATGGCACAGGCTTTGGGGTCTACCTCAGCTCTGCAGCCACACCATCCTCTAGGACCAATCTGATGGCCTCGGTGATGTACACAGTGGTCACACCCATGTTGAACCCTTTCATCTATAGTCTGAGGAACAGGGACATTAAAGGGGCCCTGGGGAGACTCCTTAGAAGGGCAGCTGCCTCTCACTGATGGGTCTGTTGGAAGATCATCATGAGTAGCAGGGTTAACACCACTGAGGACCAGAAACTCTGCCCTCTTTCACCCAAAATTTTGATTTTGTGCAGTTTCATGGATTTTAAAGCAACTCTGTGCTTGGGTCTTCCTTTGGCATCTTTCCTGCCCTCTCTACTGATCATAAAGTTATATATCGGGTAGCCTTTTTCACTTTCTCATAGATCTTAGATGTATCCAAGCAGCCATTTATCCTCCTTTATTTCTGGAATCACCATAACATACCATGTCTTGATTCTGACCATTGTTTAAGATACTCTTTCATCAGTACCACCTGCAAATGCACGCTATGGTTGGAGTACCAAACCTGGCCCTTTACCTGTTTTTGTATATAAAGTTCTATTGGAACTCAGCCATGCACATTGGCATATGTGTTGTCTACAGCTGCTTTCCTGCTGCAACAGCAGAGCTGTGTCACTGCCACAGAGACCAGCTGTCCTGCAGAGCCTGGCATATTTACCTTCTAGCCCTTTACTGGAAAATGTTGCCAAACCTTTGAAGGTATTCCTATCTTGTCTATTGTAAACTTACTTTGTTAAGCATCTCAGGATACCACAAAAACTCTATAGTAAAAACACGAAATTCTATACTAGTATCATGAAATTCTACAATAGTAACCGGGCAGTGTTTTGTTCTGTCGTACATAGGGTCACTATGAGTCAGAACTGACTGGACGGCACCTAACAACAACATGAAATTCTACACAAAACTCCATTTTCACAATTAATATATGTGATTAGAAGTTTTACTTTTTGATGTATATGTGATGCTAAATCAAACAATAAATAATACTTTTCCCAATAACCTAAATAGGAAATACCATGGAGGCTGGTACTTTGTCTTTTTCAAATCTTCATATCCCCTCTGCCTAGCAAAATCTCCGAAACAGAAAAAAGTGAAATAAATTTTTGTGAAATGAATAAATTAGCTTAAATCTTAGGTGATGTCATGCTGTCTCATGGATTTAAAATCATATCTCTAGCCTGAGGACTCCAAAACGCATATCTCCAGACAGGATCACTCTAGATTCATAGATTCTCCACTTGTAAGTTTAATAGATATATCAAGTTTAACATGTACAAAATCCTAATCCTTGTTGTTGTTGTTAGGTGTCGTTGCATTGATTCTGACTCATAGTGACCTTATGTACAACAGAATGAAACACTGCCCAGTACTGTACCATCCCCACAATTGTTGCTACGCTGGAGCCCACTGTTTCATCCACTGTGTCAATCCGTCTCACGGAGGGTCTCTCTTGCTTTCGCTGACCTCTACTCTACCAAGCATGATGTGCTTCTCCAGGGACTGGTCCCTCCTGATAACATGTCCAAAATACGTGAGACGAAGTCTTGCCATTATTTCTTCTAATGAGCATTCTGGCTATACTTCTTCCAAGACAGATTTGTTTGTTCCACCAGAAATCAAGGTATATTCAGGATTCTTTGCCAACACCATAATTCAAAGGCATCAATTCTTCTTGGGTCTTCCTTATTCATTGTCTAGCTTTCACATGCGACTGAAACACCATGGCTTCTGTTAGGCACACCTTAGTCTTCAAGGTGACATCTTTGCTTTTTAACATTTAAAGAGGTCTTTTACAGCAAATCTGCCCAAATGCAATGTGTCTTTTGATTTATTGACTACTGCTTCCATGGGTGTTGATTGTGGATCCAAGTAAAATGAAATCCTTGACAACCTCAATCTTTTCTCTGTTTATCATGATGTTACTTATTGGTCCAGTTTTGAGGATTTTTGTTTTCTCTATGTTGAGGTGTAATCCATACTGAAGGCTGTGGCCTTTGATGGTCATCAGTAAGTGCTTCAGGTCGTCTTCACTTTCAGCAACGAAGTTTGTGTTATCTGTATATCGAAGGTTGTTAATGAGTCTCCAAACCTGAGGCCACGCTCTTCTTTATATAGTCCAGCTTCTCGGATTATTTCCTCATCATACAGATTGAATAATTATGGTGAAATGATACAACCATGATACATACTTTCCCTGAATTTAAATCACACAGTCTCCCCTGGTTCTGTTTGAATGACTGCCTCTTGATCCAAATACAGGTTCCTCATGAGCACAATTAAGTGTTCTGGAATTCCCATTCTTCGGAATAATTATGCATAATTTGTTATGATCCACACAGTCAAACATCTTTGCATAGTCAGTAAAACACGGGTAAACATCTTTCTGGTATTTTCTGCTTTCAGCCACAATCCATCTGACATCAGCAATGATATCCCTCGTTCCACATCCTCTTCTGAATCCAGCTTGAATTTCTGGGAGTTCCCTGTGGATGTACTGCTGCAACCTCTTTTGAATGATCTTCAGCAAAATTTTACTTGCCTGTGACAATGATATTGCTCAATAATTTCCATATTCTGTTGGATCACCTTTCTTTGGAATGGGTACAAATGTGGATCTCTTCCAGTCAATTGGCCAGGTAGCTGTCTTCCAAATTTCTTGGCATAGATGAGTGATCTCCTCCAGCACTGCATCTCTTTCTTGAAACATCTCAAGTGGTATCCCATCAATTCCTGGAGACTTCTTTTACATGAAAGCCTTCAGTGCAGCTTGGACTTCTTCCTTCAATATCATCAGTTCTTGATCATATGCTACCTACTGAAGTGGCTGAATATTGACCAATTCTTTTTGGTACAGTGACTCTGTGTATTCCTTCCATGTTCTTTTGATGCTTCCTGCATCCTTTAATATTTTTCATACAATCCTTCAATATTGCAACTTGACACTTGAATTTTTTCTCAAGATCTTTCAGGTTAGAAATGCTGAGCGCATTCTTCACTTTTGGTTTTATATCTCCAGGTTTTTCCACATTTCAGTATAGTACTTTGCTTTGTCTTCTTGAGCTGCTCTTTGAAATCTTCTCTTCAGCCCTTATACTTCATCTTTTCTTGCATTTGTTTCAGCTGCTCAACATTTAAAAGCAAGTTTCACAGTCTCTTCTGACATCCTTAATCTTTATTATCCCCCTAAACCTGCTCCTCTCACAGCCTTCTCCATCTCTGTAAATGGCAAATCTCCATTCTTCTAGTTTTCTCAGGCCAACATCTTTTGAGTTGTCCTTAGCTCCTCTCTTTTTCTATCACCCACATCAAATCCTCCAGAAAAATCTATCAGCTCTACCTTCAAATCACATCCCACATCTGAGCCCTTAGCACCACCCCCACTGACGTCTCTCTGGTACCAACCACAATCATTTCTCCTTGGTTAGGTGACCATACACACATGAGACAATGCCAGTTTATGCCTATGTCAGAGCATAATTATAAATAGCGCCCTCTTCCTATTTCAAAATTTTCAACTTGAATTTCAATTTTGGTTTTTACCGTAAGTGAGATAGTGACCTTCCCAGTGGGATACTGCAAGAGCTTTCTAACTAGCCACAGTGCTTCTTCTTTCCTCCCAGCTGACATTTAATTATCAATTTAGCAACTGAAATGATGCTTTAAAAATAAATCTGATCAAAATTTGAAAACTGATCATGGTGATCGTTGCACAACACAGAAAATAAAATTAATGCCACTGAATTGTACAAATAAAAATGGTTGAAATAGCAAATGTTTTGTTATATATATTTCACTACACACAAAAAAATTCTTAGAAGTCTGATCAATGATTTTGCCACTCAGAAACCCTCTAATAGCTTCCAATATCATACACAGTAGAAATAATAGTCTTCTCGGTGGCCTATGAGATTCTGCATAAACTGCACCTGCCTCACCTTTCTGATTCATATCCTAACTCCCTTCTCCCAAACATTTTTACAATTAGTTATAATGTACCATGTATCCTTATACAAGTGCTGAAGTGGAAACCCAGCTTTCGTTCTTTTTTTTTATAGCAGCCAAAAGAAAGCAGACTGGATCAATTACAAAAACCATGAGATTGATAAAATAAACACAAATCAATTGTTTAAAGAATGATTCCTCATATATAGTGTCTTCGTTATCTAGTGCTGCTATAACAGAAATGCCACAAGTGGATGGCTTTAACAAATACAAATTTATTCTATCACAGCCTAGGAGGCTAGAAGTCTGAATTTAGGGTGCCAGCTCCAGGGGAAGGCTTTCTCTTTCTGTCAGTTCTGGGGGAAGGTCCTTGCCATCATCTTCCCCTGGTCTAGGAGCTTCTCCCCACAGGACCCTGAGTCCAATGGATGCCCTCCACTCCCAGCATTGCTTTCTTGGTGGCATGCACTTCCTCTTTCTCTCTGCTTGCTGCTCTCTTTTATATCTTTAAAGAGACTGGCCCAAGACACAACCTAATCATGTAGATTGAGTCCTGCCTCATCAACATAACTGCCTCTAATCCTGCCTCATTAACATCACAGAGGTAAGATTTACAACACATAGGTAAATCACATCAGATGACAAAATGGTGGACAATCACACAATAGTGGGAATCCTGGCCTAGCCAAGTTGACACACATTTTTGGGGGACATAATTCAATCCATAACATAAAATGAAGACACTTAGCCACAGCATTCTCAAGAAGTCTCTGCAAGTTATACTGAACAATATCCTCAATAATTTTCTTATTTTGGATCCAACAATGGAGTTCACAGAGCTCTTTCTGCAGTATGCTTTAGTATAGACTGAAGTATTCATACCAAGTGTGATCCATGAATGTCTCTACTATGGGTGTAGTGAGAAGTTAATCCAGGAAGAAAGCATTGACTAGGTGGTTTATGGAACATTGATAGGATGACGTGAACACTGTAAACCCCATAGGAAGTCTGCCCTTCTGGTGCAAAATTCTCACCTTTGTTGATAACTGCTTCAGGATCTAAGAGCTCACTCATAGGGAATTTCTCAAAGGCTCCATCTGTGCATTTTCTGAAAATATCCTAAGAATGTTTGATTCTGGTTTTAAAATGAGCCCCTTGTAAATTTGATAAAGATGGTCAATACCTTCTAGACTGGAATAATGAAGACAATG